GGATAGTCACATTCCTAGCATTACACGCTGTGACCACTTCCATTGATTTCAGGCACAATAAATTGGAATTAAAAGAGGGTGAAGAAGTATTTGCTAGATGACAAAGCAGTCAATACTACCATGGTGCTTCTGCTGGGATAGCAGAGTTACAAGCCCCTTCATTAGCACCTAAAACTGAACTCAACTTTCTGGTGCCAAATCAGTTTCACAAACATGGTCCTGTTCTTTGCACTTCCTTAAATCGCAGGTCAGTTATGTATTGTAGTAAATCTCCATAATGTCAGCCCTGTTTAACATTATTCCTTACAGCACCAAAGGCTCAGTGTTTTGGTGTATGGTCTTTGATATGCTGGTTAGGTATTGTAAAACCCCACTAATTTTTTTAAAACTCGCTATTGCTTTATAGTGTACTTTGACATGTGTCTTGCCTGGCCTTCTCAGATATTGTAATGGTATCTACTTGCTGTCTGTCTAGATAGTTCACTGTTATAGGCTTAGGTACAAGAAGAATTTTTAAAAACCTGACAAGGATAGGTTCTGAGATGCTGCTCACATTATATGGCATTGCCTCAACACCTACACAAGCGTCCTGTTCCACCTGAAAGAAACAGGCAAGGTAATCCTTACAGAAAATGATCTCTTAGAAGCTATATTTTCTTCCTCTCAGCACTGAGTGTTTTTTCAGCCGCCTTAAAAAGGCCATTGTAATAAATTGATTGAGTTTGAAAGCTTGTCCGATTTCACTATAACTTCTGTAAGTGATTCTGCTTTATCTTAAAATGTTGTTTATTACTTCCTACTCTGCTATGTGTTCCTCTCTGATTTTCAGGAAAAGCTATATTCTGTGTTCCTGAAGCAAGAGGTGGGGATGCCTGGTAGCATTCCAAGGGAAATTGCTGATGTTTCTGTGAATTTTCAATTTACTATTCAGCAACATAAAAGGAAATATTTCGTTCTGGAGCAGATTAACAAAAACAAAATGACACATCAAAACTATTTTGTTGAGATGGCCTGAAGCATTTACTGAAACCATTGCTTAGTCAGAATGTTGGAAAGACAGAAAATTTGATTTGGATTGAATGAAAAAATGAGAAAAGGAAAGAACATGTATGTGTCTCCCCAAAGTTTTGTTGGACCCCAAATGAAACATTTATTTTCCTTTTGAGGCCATGTAACCATTTTCAACAGGATTTTTTAATTTGTATTGCTTTTGAAGTGCAAAATATTATTTTAGAACGAGTTGGGGTTTAAAATGTGCTAAAAAAAGGGCAGTATTTCCAAACTGAGTAGTTTTCATCCAAATATGTTAATTGAGAATTTTTACCCTGTTTTCTCCAAGCTAGTCACCAAATTCCCTTTTGTTTTTTGTGGGTGGGATTTTTTTATGTGTACAGAAATTACATTTTTTGAGAAACTGTTTTTCTGTTTGTTTGTTTGAGCAATTCCAAATCTGTCACCTCGTGGTCATTCAAGTGAAATCTCATCAAGCAGGGGAAGAAAATGGCATTCAAGTAAAAACTGGTGTAGGATGTGTTCCACATGTTTAGTAATAAAGCAATATTTTTCTAAGAGCTGTTTCAGATGTTTGCATCTCTGTGTATGCATGAACGATTTCTTCAGGATAAGGAAAAAGGGGTGTTCTGTGGTTGATCATTGTTTAATACTCATGAGACAATTGTGTTGCCACTTTTCTCTTTTCGTTTATTTGCTGCCAAGCTTTTCCTTTGTTTTTCTCAGGTAGGTTAGGGCAAGAAAATGCTGCACTCATCAAAAGATAAGAAGTCCCACTGCCTGGGGCCAGATGTTCATAAAATATTCCTTTGATTTTTTTTTTCCCCTCCAGTCTCTTCCTCCCCCAGCACAGCAGCTGAGAGTAAGTCCCTTTTCCCCTTGTGTTCAGCTGTATGTCATCTTGAATTTAGTCTGAGATTTCAGTCAATTTGACTCTGAGGGAAGGGGCTCCTGAGGCAAATATTTCCACTTTCCTTATTTTAGACACTTTGCCTGCAAACTAATTGCATAGATTGGAGGTGGTTCATTTGTTATGTTTGCTTTTGGTAACAACAACATAGATCTAAAACTGAAGTGTTCGGTTCTGAAGTAGAGGTAATTTTTCCTGTACATGAACTATTTGAAAGTTCCCAACACACGTGGTTTTGCTTTGCTTTTGCACTAAATAACACTAATTAGGTGAACAGTATTAAACTCTCCTCTTAGTAGAAATCTCTTATTCTCTCTAATACTAATGAGTAAATATTTAAACTTGCTATAAATATTCTCCAGTAGTTATTTTTACAGCAGCAGTAAATTAGAATTCCACAGTGCGAAAAGCCCTGAACAGAGGCTGTACAAAGGTGTTAAACCCAAGCCTGTAGGTGAATTAAAATAGAAGTCACATCCAGATTAGTCTTGATGATGGAACATTAAAAGCTTGTGAATATTTTCAATAACCATGATTGCATCATAATGTAATGCATCCTTTCTCACATATATTCCAGTTTTTCCACCCCATCTGCCTGTTTTACTCTCAGCTGCTACCGTGATAGCCCCTCAGAATGGCATAATCTCTTTAGCTGAGATGCCATAATCTTCTGCTAGCATGAGAGTGGAAGACAAAAAAAATCAGAGAATACTGCATTGTATTAAAACACACCCCCTTTTCCTCGTCAGATTGGAGACTTAAAGGAATTAAGAAAATATAGTTTATTGTCTATAAATGATATTTCATTACAGTTAACTGAACCTTATAATTATTCTATATTTTCCTTAATAAAGAATCTTCTCAGTTGTATTTCACTACTGAAACAAAGCTGGCAGTTCTTGCCAGCTGGAAGAAGTCCACTGCCTGAGTGGAGCTTATCCCACCCAAGTTTATTGCTGCAGCACAAGGAATCTGCTTCACATCGATCTAGAATTTCAGTCAATGCACAATGTCTCTCTTAGGAGCTAATGCGTGCACACTACACACTCCAAATAGGCTTCTGTTTTGCTGGAGAGAAGACAAAACACGCTGGCAGAAGTACGTTGTAGCATGTTGTGACAATGCGTCCCTTTCCAATCCAACAGCTGGAAGCCGAAGGGTTGACTGAAGATGAAAGGGGATCCCTCCAGTACAGGTTCCAGCATCCTTGGGCACCAGATGGACTGCTATGGAAAACAGAACTAAAATAAGCCACAAAATTCACTGTCAGAAGAGGTTTTCTTTTTATTCTGGCAGTGCCAGGTTTTACTAGAAAGAAATTTCCCATGTCGTAGAAACTGAAAATAGGAATGAACTGGAACCTCCTTTGTTCTCTCCAAACCAGTGCAGGATTGTTCCAGGTATAGTGTCTAATCTTTGTGTAGTCTGATTTTTAAAGATTCATGAAATAAAGCATTTTATCTGCCATTTTTGGGTTATTTCACCACAACAGTTTTAGGAGAATTTTTCTTAAGTATTCAGACTACATTTCCTTTCTTATTCTCATTATTTTCAGTTTTATCATCTTAGACTCCCTCAGGCAGCTTTTCCCAGTGCCTGCTTTTTGCTCTTTCATATTCTTCACTGTAGCTGTTATGTTTCTCTATGGTTGCCATGATATTTTTTGTAAGACCTCTTGTTTAATGTCACTTAGAGATGTCATTACTATTCTGTTCACTTTCCCCTTCCACTAATGAAGATGTGAAACAACACAGAACTTATCATTGCTCTTACTAGGTACTTCCTGTCAACCTGCTAGACTGCTGTTTATCAGTACTCTTCTTTTACGGCCCTTCAGTTTGCATTCATTCCCCATGACAGTCTCTTATCTAAGTCTTTCCAAATTAATTTTTCACGTAAATTTTTCTGAGACACTGTAGGAAAGGTTTTGCTGATGCTTCAATCCAGCTTCATTGGTTCTGCTGTTTTCCCTTCTTTTACACTAGAGATTTTGTCCAGACAAAAAAACAACTGAGGAATAACAATTCATGTTGAGATAGCTCTTTTCCCACTGCAAGTGTAAGTTTCTTATCTGAGGATCCTCCTACTCAATGAACGCTTGCTGCCCTAAGGGCGGGACTCTCAAAGGCTGGGTCATAACCAGCACTGATAATCTGTTATTTAAAAAAGTTTCTGGGATTGCAATCAGCTATGTTCAGGGGATTAACTTCTTACCAGGTGGAGTAAGGGCTGCAATTTTCTCTTATGCAGTGTATGTATTGCATCCTATGCAGTAAGTATTAGCAGCCAGATTTCACCCCACATGCATTGAGTAAAATGTTTTATATGAGTGACAAAATTCTCTTCATCTCAGCATAATCTTGATTTCAAGCCAGATAGAAACTCATTTAAACAGTGGGATTTTGGAAGAGGCAAATCTCTGCTCAGTGTGAAGATGGCAGGAATA